TCCATTATGTCATTATGGGTAAGGTCCCATAACAGCATCCCTACTGGAAAAAGATCTTATTTTAATGCCTCACTCTAGGAGATGTCTTTTTTTTTCAATCTGCTGCCTTTCTTTCAATTTTAACTTTTACTGTTGTCTCTTTATTGACCTCTGCAAATATTGCTCTTCATTGAACACTGATTTTAGCTCACAAAACCACACTTCTTTCCAATGGTTTTACAACTCACTAACTTAACATAGGAGAAGGAAACTGAACACAGGATATGTTGCACACAGGGGTCCTTTTGTCGAGTACTTTAAGGTACTACAAAACCAGAATAATAATCAAAAACTTGAGTCATGTCCTTAAATAAGCTTTTCAGATCTAACCTCCCATATATGCTGGTTTTCTAATCATAGATTAGATATGGCACAAGACTGAAAGCATGGCACTTTAACTCACTATTCTGTCATAAATGATTTTGTGAGACAAGCTTGCTAAGCATTACACCATTCAAAGTGCCATTGGCAGTTTTCTAAACATAGATGTAGCACAAATCAGAAAGAATAGAGCACCCAGTGAGGACTGAACTCATTATTCATTCTTAATTGATCTAGCAAGACAAGCTTGCTCCCCATTGCACAACATCAAAGTGTACTTGGAAGTTTTCTAATCATAATAAAGCTTAGATGTGGCACAAGGCCAAAAGAACTGAGCATCCAGTGAGGATTGAGCTCACTAATCAGTCGTAATTGATCTCGCAAGTCAAGTTTGCTAACCATTACACCCTTTGTGGTTTTCTAAGCATAGCTTAGATGTGGCACAATGTTGAAAGTATGTGGCACCCAGTGAGGATTGACCTCACTATTTAGTCATAATTATTGATCTATCAAGACAAACTTGCTAACCAGTATACTATGTTGAAGTTCTCTCTAACCTCCAATATGGATGTCATGCATGTCGGCCAACTCATTCAGAAATGTCTAAACTATTCTCTGTATACAATCGTTTTCTCAAATCAATGATTAAAAATGGCTTCAGGTGAATGAATCTTTTAGGTCTTGAAAAAATCACTTCTTCATTAGATCCTTATATACTGTTGCTACAGAATCACAGTTTTAGCAAATAATTGAAGACTTCCAGCACCAGCAACTGCTCAAATGGATAGCACATGTAAATAAAAGGAATCATAATGATATGTTGATATTCCACACTACCTTAAACAAAAGGTTAGGAAGGAAACTCTTATCAGTACTGGAAAAAGCTTATAACAGTGGGCCTGAGAAACCTATTTTACTGAAAAACTGTTTTTTATAAATTCCAGCTGACAGTAGCACTGTCTGCTTGACCAATAGATGCTGAATGTTTCCTGTACAGAAAGAGTTAATTTCTCTGTTAGTATTATTATTCTTCAGCAAACTGCTGTTCCCTCAATAACTATATTGGTCATGCAAATAATAGACTAAAAATAAAATAAAATAAGACCAAATCAATTTCCATGTTTTGCTAAGGTATTTTCTCACAAAAACGTTTAAAATATAGCATTACTCCACCTTATTTTCTCTTAATGCCCACTAGGTGCCATTGCATAAAGCAGTATAAAAGGAAAGGATATATTAACCCTCTCTCAATGTTTGCTTTCCTTCGGTTACAGTTCAAATCTCTTCATTATCTGTGAGGAAATTTTTCAGCATTCACTGTCACATAGTGGGTTGATGTTATATATCTGTTTAGCATTCATTATGGAATTCATTCATTTTTCTACCTAAGATATCTGCCCTGGGAATGACAATAAACTACATCTGCATCCTGGGTAAGACGATAAACTAATTCCAACAGCAAGGCCTCTAATCAGGAGGTTTCGAGGAGCATGGAATCACCTCTTAATTGCTGGTGTTCCCAGGTCCACTATGACCCCAGGTGGTAGCACCTGTTAGGGTCCCAGCTATGGGAAAATAGATAACAACCAAACTTGTGTAAAAATAGGTTTTAATACCAGAAATACTTTGTAATAAAAAAAAATATTACCAACAATAATTTTTGAAGGAAAAATTATCATCAGCAATACTTAAAAAAAATACCAGCAATACAAACAGCGATATATTCTTTGAAAAAAATATGACCAGCTATAGATTTCTTCAAGGAAAAATATTCCCAGAAATAGATTTTTGAAGAAAAACATATTACCTGCAATAAAAATTTTGTCGGCATTAAATAACCCATTGAGGTTGATATGCTGTAAAACAAAATAAACCAAACCAATCTAAAACAATGAATACATATTCTATTCATACGAATCTATCCTAAAAATTTTGCCGGCATTAAATAACCCATTGAGGTTGATATGCCGTAAAACAAACTAAACCAAACCAAACCAAACCAAACTACCTAAAATATTAATTCCTATATTTTTTGCCATTATAGAATTAATCTTCCTCATATCTCAGTCCTTACTGAATCTATCCTTATGGAATATACTTTTGTCTCTTAGTATTTCTAAGCAATGAACTGTCTCTAATTTTTGGCAGCAGTGCTTGCTAAAAATACTTCTAACATTCATTGATTGTATCTTTCGGAAATTATCCCAAATTTAAGTCCTGGCTGGTGTCCTTAACACTGTCTCAAGTGCTGACTGAAGACTTATTTTTGTTGGTACTTACCCCAGGAGCAAGAAGAAATGATATAATTTGATGAACACTTCTTGCTAGCATTATTGTTGGGTGGAACTGAGGCAGAAGTAATCTGGGCCGCAAAATCAAGTGTTAGGGTGTGGGACCAGATCAGGGAAATTTCCCTTTAAGAAACAAGGGAAGAATTTAAGTTACTGTAAGATGATTATTAAATTGTTTTTTTTTTTGTTTGGATTTTTTTTTTAATAGTTTTACTTTTCTTTTGTTTCACTTTGTGTGCATTTACAACCCATTCTGCTTTCTTCATCATCATAAAATGTTAAAACAACTTTAGTATTGGAATAAAAAACAATATAAATAAGCTTTAAGAAAAACTTTCTTTCAAATTTAGTATATAACTTCTTTTTTTTTTTCACTGTACCCAACCAATACTTTTTATCCATTGGCTCAAGTGATTTGACCTAAAGAGTTGTAGGTTCAACACCCAGCTACTGCAGTGGTGAACAAAAGACTTGAGTGAAAGGAAGATAACTGAGATATCGGGAAGAGGCATGGCATGGGGAACTAGAAACCCCCCCCCATGGATGAAATGAAGGGTTTCAGTTAGAAATTCTGATCTCCTGAAGAAGGCTGGCAACAGGAAAATTGTGCTAGAAACAAAGAAATGATTGCTAAACTGAAGATTGCATTTAAGCATGAAACACTGTCACCACTCGGAGTTGACACTTATGTACATACACACTGTATTTAAATATTTTCACTGCATATACAGGTATGACACTCTGATCCTGTATTTATCTATCCCTGCTCACAATGGTAATATATGACACATGGTTGATTTACATGGGTGTCTATACATTTAGACCCAGTGCAAGAATTACTCTTCTCCATGATTGTTGTCACACAGGGATCAGAATATTTTGAACCTACTCTTTTGATGCAATAGGTGAGGACTACTGACAGATTGAATACTGGGGATCAAACTTGTATTTTTATTGCCTAAATTCAGAAAGGATTGTTTGTATTGGCTCGATGATCCCAACTATGGTCGAATGATAATGAAATACAAAAACATGGAGTTACTGTTCCATATCATACAGTCTTGGACAAACATTTAAAAACCAGCTGGAAAAAATAAAAATTTCTCACTTATTGCAGGATATTGCATCATCGACATTTATCTAATGTAAACAAACTGCAATACCTTAAGTTTGAAACATTGTAAGGCACAATTTTACCTGGTATGAAAACTATGAGCTTGTTCTAAAGAATACTTTTCAGTAAGTTTTTACGCATTAAAAATGGGAGAAAAATGATAACTTTCTGACATTTAAAGGACCCACTTAGTAACATTGCATAGAAATGGGTACATGGACCCCAGTTAGTAACATTATATAGAGAGGGGTACTTGGAGCTCACTTAATAACATTACATAAAGAGGGGTATTCAGGCCACAATTAGTAGCATTGCATAGAGAGCAGGGTACTTGGAGCCCAATTAGTAACAATACATAGAGAGGGATAACTGTAGCCCAATTAGTGACATTACATAGAGAAGGGGTACTCTGGCCCCAATTAGTAACATTTCATAGAGAAGGGGTACTCTGGCCCCAATTAGTAACATTTCATAGAGAAGGGGTACTCTGGCCCCAATTAGTAACATTTCATAGAGAAGGGGTTCTCTGGCCCCAATTAGTAACATTTCATAGAGAAGGGATTCTCTGGCCCCAATTAGTAACATTTCATAGAGAAGGGATTCTCTGACCCCAATTAGTAACATTTCATAGAGAAGGGATTCTCTGGCCCCAATTAGTAACATTACACAGAGAAGTGTAATCAGAGCCCAATTAGTGATATTAAATGGAGAAGGGTACTCAAAGCATGGAATATCAATCTAGATGGGTTGTAGCATGAATACACTTCATAAAGCTATTACCAATCACCAAGGTGATGGCTCTTATTCTGACTATAAGAAATGTGAATGTTTCTTTGAGTCAAAAATGTTAGGTGCTCATAAACTTTTGGCCACAACTGTGGTATACAAAAACAGCAGTGGATGCGAAACAAATACTCTGTTCTAATCTATAAATAAATTTTCTTGTTATTTTTCATGGGTAATATGCATATAGGACATTAAGATCCATTTCTTTGTTTGTCTGAGGCATATTCAATTGTAAGGCCTGGTCACTGAAAGCTTAATTAATTTCAAGAAGCAAAGATAATTGTTGTCCTAGAAAATAGGTTTTAGTTTTGACTATCTCTGAAAAAAATCATTCAAGTGAAATCCTATTTGATATCAATGCCAAAACCTAGGATTAATCAGCACGTCTCTTAAACTGATGATTATCTTAAAGTGCATGTGGAATTGTATTGAGCATAAAATCTTCTGACTTAGGGGAATATTACAATCTTGATTACAGCTTCTAAATAGTTGATCAACATAAAGCAAGAGTTGGTAAGAAGAAAAGTAGGAATGAGAGGAGAATAAAAATGGAAAAAGAAAGAACAGAGGAGAAAGAAAGAAGGAAAGATGAGAAAAAGAAAGGTTAAAGGAAAATGGAAAATGAAGAGAAAGAGAAAAGGAAAGTAAAATAAAAAGAATAAAAAATGAAAGAAAGGATAAAAGAAAGAAGGAAAAAAAACAGGATAAAAAGCAGAGAAATGAGAAAGAGAAAAAAAAGGAATTAAGTAGAAAAGGAAAAGAAAGTGAAAATAAAAGGAGAGAAAGTAAGACATAATAGAGGGAAGGTAAGAAACAAATAAAAGAGACAGTAAAAGAAAAGATAAATGAGAGAAGACAAAGAGAAGGGATAAAGAAGAGAAAGAAAGAAGCTAAAAATAAAAAAGCAGATGAAGTAGAATGTGTTCATCTTGTTTGGTTTTTGCCCATCTGCACATCAAGAGCACTTCTCTTGCCTGAGAAAAACACTGGTGTTATATAGCTCTCCCAGTCCCACACACACACTGACGATTAGCTAATACCTGCCCATTATCGTTCATATGAAAACAGGCAGTACCACCTACTCTAAGTAAAAGGTCTTCTCTCAAAAGCCTTTTGTGGAAGTGAATGCAACTCCATTGTGCATATAGCACCACATACAACCAACACAGAGTCTTTTATTGAGCTGATCCAATTCTTTCTTATATTTATTTTAACAGAGCCAATAAATATTTTGCACAACAAAATCCAAAATTACCTCATATGGGGGATAGATCTCTTTTAACTAATGAAAACTTTATCAGTTTTTTTCAACCCCAGTGTATAGAGCGAAATCATCTTGGAATTGGAAATTTAACTGTGGCAGCCATTGAAAAATTAATACAGATTTTATCCATTTCAATGTTTCAGTGAAATGAAATGCACAAAACAGTGGACAGGAGAAGGTGAAAGGTATTTGTCTTAAAGTGAAGAAGTTTTATAAAATGAAACCCAGATATTAATCTAATGATATTAAATTAGGGTTATATACAGAAGGTAGTGCTAATTTGAAACTAAAAAAGGACCCAAAAAGGAGTTTTATAAATTTATATATATATATATATATATATAAATAAAAAGAAAGAACAGTAAGGTATATAATCCAGTGTTCTTATAGATATTTTTATTTTTACAAAATAGTGCTCAATGTAAATTGACAGAGCATTAATATTATAAATTAATTGATTTAAAATATGGTTTTTTCTGCTACACAGTTCTAACCATGTTTCAAAAATGGAAGCTAAAAGCCCCAAAGTTAATTTTGTAATTAAATTAAAGACATTAGTTCCATTACCTTCTCAAGTGAAAGTTACTCCAAAATTCGCTTGAGGAGGAAATGGAACTGGTCTTTAATTTAATTACAAAATTAAATTCGGGGCTTTTAGCTTCCATTTTTGAAACATGGTTAGAACTGTGTAGCGAAAAAAACCATATTTTAAATCAATTAATTTAAATATATATATATATATATATATATATATATATATATATATATATATATAAAAAGGTTAGGTTCCTATTTTAAAATAAGATAAAAATAAATTATACTTAAAAAGTAAGTCATATAATAATATTTATATTAAATTTACATCAAATTAAAGTAAGAATATATTTTTTTTAAAAATAATAAATAAAACATTTTATATTAAAGAATAAAAATATATTTAAAAATAAAAATATAAGATAAAATAAATTATACATTAGAAAAAATGTTTAACTTTAAAGATAAGTTAAATGAATTTGTATTTAAAAAAACTTAAAAAAATCAAAAAATATAGATAAAGAAGTGTAAGTGATAAATGGAAAGAGAGTTCTTAGAACAGAGGAAAATTATGAGATATAATTAATATGGGGAAAAATGGAAATATAGAAATTAAAATTAGTTATATATTCGACATTTGAAGAATTACAGAATTATAATGTAATAAAGTAAAATTGAAGTTGAATAAAACTGACAAAGTTTTTGTTGGTTGAAACAGATTTATCCTCCATACAAGGTAATTTTAGATTTTGTTCTGTAATAAAATACACATATATATATATATATATATATATATATATATGAACTTCAAATTTTCATGAGCTTGCAACCCGTAGCTATGATTAATTAATGATGAGCATGTCATTTTTATTTATGATCAATTTCATCATGATTCTTCTGTTAAGCTTGGAGAGTAATTATACATTCTTATTACTCAAAGTAAAGTCTAATAGTGTTATAAAAACCTTGGAGAATTCCAGTAAGATATCTTTAATCATTTCTAAGATACAACAGTTCAAATCTTAATCTTTCAATTGGACAAATTTTCTGTTACACGTGGTATATATAAAATGATTCTCAGTTGACAAGGATATAAATAGACCAAAAACTAGCTTTATACTGTTCAAGAATTAATGAGTCAAAATACAAATCCAGTGTTTTCTCAATCTTGTTGGAGGAGCCCCTCCCTGATTTATCATTTCCTGAGGGGTGTAGCTGTACTCACCATGTTTGGCCAATTGAGGGTTGGTGAAGCTCTTTAATAGATAGTTGAGTTTGATGGCCATTGATTGAGGAGTTCATTGGCCCTTTTCACAGCTCTTGTGTTTTTTAGCTACTGGTGTGGGATCCAGTTTAGTTGCTGTTGAGATGTTGAGTGATTCCGCGTGCGTGTATTGAAATAAGAACAAACACATATGTAGGGGAAAAATACTGGTATATCTGAAGAGGTCAAATGAACGCAGGTTAGTCAGTAACAATCAGAAAGAGTATAAAGTCCGACTGTATCTTCCGGTAGAGAGACGGAAATGTGATGGTCACCTGATCTTCTTAGAACTCTATAGAACTGTCCTATTAGTAGTAGAGAGATCAGTCCATTCTGATGAGAAGGTGGGTGCACCCCAACAGTTGCCAACCAATAAGGTTTTAAATTCAGAGCTGTGCTTCTCTTAGACCTATTATTGAACAAGTCTTTTAAAGGCTACTGCTGCTGATTGAAAAAAGAAATCTTTTTATGAATTGCAAAATTGGTGTCTGACTTTTGTATTGAGGACTCATAACTGTGTCACTCTTATTGTTAAACATATGTCTGTTTCTTTCTGTGACTTTGTTGGACCAATAGTATTCTCTTGCAGATACTGTCTCTTTCTTCCTTCATGCTTTCCACCATATCTTCTTGTTTCTCACTATTTGCTTAAAAGACAAATATCTGCTGTAAAGTGCTATGTACATCATGGAGAATTAATTTTCTATCAAGGTCTTGTTTTAATTAGTATTTACTGCAAACAGCTCTCTGCCAGAGCTGCTGTGTTTTTGAGTTGAGAAGATGTTTGTCTTTGAGATAAACTGAGATTTTTTTAATTTTTTTCTTTTTCATAATAATAATTTTATATTCTTTAACACAAACATTTTAATAATGAAATTCTTCCTCAATTCTAAAGTTTTAAATACCTCATGAGCCAGCTCTTTTCTAGGAATTTACAAGAGACAGTGGTGATCAAAGGAGTCTACAAGAGGCATTGGCAATCAAAGGAGTCTACAAGAGGCATGGATGATCAAAGGAGTCTGCAAGAGATGTTTGATGGTCAAAAGAGACATTGGCAGTCAAAGAAGACTATAGGAGATATTGACGGTAAAAGGAGACCACAGGAGATGTTGATGGTCAAAGGAGACCACAAGAGACACTGACAGTCAAAGGAGACCACAAGAGACACTGACAGTCACAGGGGACCACATGAGATACTGACAGTCAAAGAAGACCACAAGAGACACTGACAGTCAAAGGAGACCACAAGAGACACTGACAGTCAAAGGAGACCACAAGAGACACTGACAGTCACAGGGGACCACATGAGATACTGACAGTCAAAGAAGACCACAAGAGACACTGACAGTCAAAGGAGACCACAAGAGACACTGACAGTCAAAGGAGACCACATGAGATACTGACAGTCAAAGAAGACCACAAGAGACACTGACAGTCAAAGGAGACCACAAGAGACACTGACAGTCAAAGGAGACCACAAGAGACACTGACAGTCAAAGGGGACCACATGAGATACTGACAGTCAAAGAAGACCACAAGAGACACTGACAGTCAAAGGAGACCACAAGAGACACTGAGAGTCAAAGGAGACCACAAGAGATGCTGACAGTCAAAGGAGACCACAAGAGACACTGACAGTCAGAGACCACAAGAGATGCTGACAGTCAAAGGAGAGACCACAAAGAGACACTGAGAGTCACAGGGACCACATGAGATACTGACAGTCAAAGAAGACCACAAGAGACACTGACAGTCAAAGGAGACCACAAGAGATGCTGACAGTTAAATGAGACCACAAGAGATGCTGACAGTCAAAGGAGACCACAAGAGACACTGACAGTCACAGGGGACCACATGAGATACTGACAGTCAAAGAAGACCACAAGAGACACTGACAGTCAAAGGAGACCACAAGAGACACTGAGAGTCAAAGGAGACCACAAGAGATGCTGACAGTCAAAGGAGACCACAAGAGACACTGACAGTCACAGGGGACCACATGAGATACTGACAGTCAAAGAAGACCACAAGAGACACTGACAGTCAAAGGAGACCACACAAGAGACACTGAGAGTCAAAGGAGACCACAAGAGATGCTGACAGTCAAAGGAGACCACAAGAGACATTGACAGTCACAGGGGACCACATGAGATACTGACAGTCAAAGAAGACCACAAGAGACACTGACAGTCAAAGGAGACCACAAGAGACACTGAGAGTCAAAGGAGACCACAAGAGATGCTGACAGTCAAAGGAGACCACAAGAGATGCTGACAGTCAAATGAGACCACAAGAGATGCTGACAGTCAAATGAGACCACAAGAGATGCTGACAGTCAAAGGAGACCACAAGAGACACTGACAGTCACAGGGGACCACATGACATACTGACAGTCAAAGAAGACCACAAGAGACACTGAGAGTCAAAGGAGACCACAAGAGACACTGAGAGTCAAAGGAGACCACAAGAGATGCTGACAGTCAAAGGAGACCACAAGAGACACTGACAGTCACAGGGGACCACATGAGATACTGACAGTCAAAGAAGACCACAAGAGACACTGACAGTCAAAGGAGACCACAAGAGACACTGAGAGTCAAAGGAGACCACAAGAGATGCTGACAGTCAAAGGAGACCACAAGAGACACTGACAGTCAGAGACCACAAGAGATGCTGACAGTCAAAGGAGACCACAAGAGACACTGAGAGTCACAGGGGACCACATGAGATACTGACAGTCAAAGAAGACCACAAGAGACACTGACAGTCAAAGGAGACCACAAGAGATGCTGACAGTTAAATGAGACCACAAGAGATGCTGACAGTCAAAGGAGACCACAAGAGACACTGACAGTCACAGGGGACCACATGAGATACTGACAGTCAAAGAAGACCACAAGAGACACTGACAGTCAAAGGAGACCACAAGAGACACTGAGAGTCAAGGAGACCACAAGAGATGCTGACAGTCAAAGGAGACCACAAGAGACACTGACAGTCACAGGGGACCACATGAGATACTGACAGTCAAAGAAGACCACAAGAGACACTGACAGTCAAAGGAGACCACAAGAGACACTGAGAGTCAAAGGAGACCACAAGAGATGCTGACAGTCAAAGGAGACCACAAGAGACATTGACAGTCACAGGGGACCACATGGAGATACTGACAGTCAAAGAAGACCACAAGAGACACTGACAGTCAAAGGAGACCACAAGAGAGACACTGAGAGTCAAAGGAGACCACAAGAGATGCTGACAGTCAAAGGAGACCACAAGAGATGCTGACAGTCAAATGAGACCACAAGAGATGCTGACAGTCAAATGAGACCACAAGAGATGCTGACAGTCAAAGGAGACCACAAAGAGACACTGACAGTCACAGGGGACCACATGACATACTGACAGTCAAAGAAGACCACAAGAGACACTGAGAGTCAAAGGAGACCACAAAGAGACACTGAGAGTCAAAGGAGACCACAAGAGATGCTGACAGTCAAAGGAGACCACAAGAGACACTGACAGTCAGAGACCACAAGAGATGCTGACAGTCAAAGGAGACCACAAGAGACACTGACAGTCACAGGGGAACACATGAGATACTGACAGTCAAAGAAGACCACAAGAGACACTGACAGTCAAAGGAGACCACAAGAGATGCTGACAGTCAAATGAGACCACAAGAGATGCTGACAGTCAAAGGAGACCACAAGAGACACTGACAGTCACAGGGGACCACATGAGATACTGACAGTCAAAGAAGACCACAAGAGACACTGACAGTCAAAGGAGACCACAAGAGACACTGAGAGTCAAAGGAGACCACAAGAGATGCTGACAGTCAAAGGAGACCACAAGAGACACTGACAGTCACAGGGGACCACATGAGATACTGACAGTCAAAGAAGACCACAAGAGACACTGACAGTCAAAGGAGACCACAAGAGACACTGAGAGTCAAAGACCACAAGAGATGCTGACAGTCAAAGGAGACCACAAGAGACACTGACAGTCACAGGGGACCACATGAGATACTGACAGTCAAAGAAGACCACAAGAGACACTGACAGTCAAAGGAGACCACAAGAGACACTGAGAGTCAAAGGAGACCACAAGAGATGCTGACAGTCAAAGGAGACCACAAGAGACACTGACAGTCACAGGGGACCACATGAGATACTGACAGTCAAAGAAGACCACAAGAGACACTGACAGTCAAAGGAGACCACAAGAGACACTGAGAGTCAAAGGAGACCACAAGAGATGCTGACAGTCAAAGGAGACCACAAGAGACACTGACAGTCACAGGGGACCACATGAGATACTGACAGTCAAAGGAGACCACATGAGATACTGACAGTCAAAGAAGACCACAAGAGACACTGACAGTCAAAGGAGACCACAAGAGACACTGACAGTCAAAGGAGACCACAAGAGACACTGACAGTCTGAGGGACCACATGAGATACTGACAGTCAAAGAAGACCACAAGAGACACTGACAGTCAAAGGAGACCACAAGAGACACTGAGAGTCAAAGGAGACCACAAGAGATGCTGACAGTCAAAGGAGACCACAAGAGACACTGACAGTCAGAGACCACAAGAGATGCTGACAGTCAAAGGAGACCACAAGAGACACTGACAGTCACAGGGGACCACATGAGATACTGACAGTCAAAGAAGACCACAAGAGACACTGACAGTCAAAGGAGACCACAAGAGATGCTGACAGTTAAATGAGACCACAAGAGATGCTGACAGTCAAAGGAGACCACAAGAGACACTGACAGTCACAGGGGACCCACATGAGATACTGACAGTCAAAGAAGACCACAAGAGACACTGACAGTCAAAGGAGACCACAAGAGACACTGAGAGTCAAAGGAGACCACAAGAGATGCTGACAGTCAAAGGAGACCACAAGAGACACTGACAGTCACAGGGGGGACCACATGAGATACTGACAGTCAAAGAAGACCACAAGAGACACTGACAGTCAAAGGAGACCACAAGAGACACTGAGAGTCAAAGGAGACCACAAGAGATGCTGACAGTCAAAGGAGACCACAAGAGACATTGACAGTCACAGGGGACCACATGAGATACTGACAGTCAAAGAAGACCACAAGAGACACTGACAGTCAAAGGAGACCACAAGAGACACTGAGAGTCAAAGGAGACCACAAGAGATGCTGACAGTCAAAGGAGACCACAAGAGACACTGACAGTCAAAGGAGACCACAAGAGATGCTGACAGTCAAATGAGACCACAAGAGATGCTGACAGTCAAAGGAGACCACAAGAGACACTGACAGTCACAGGGGACCACATGACATACTGACAGTCAAAGAAGACCACAAGAGACACTGAGAGTCAAAGGAGACCACAAGAGACACTGAGAGTCAAAGGAGACCACAAGAGATGCTGACAGTCAAAGGAGACCACAAGAGATGCTGACAGTCAAATGAGACCACAAGAGATGCTGACAGTCAAAGGAGACCACAAGAGACACTGACAGTCACAGGGGAACACATGAGATACTGACAGTCAAAGAAACCACAAGAGACACTGACAGTCAAAGGAGACCACAAGAGATGCTGACAGTCAAATGAGACCACAAGAGATGCTGACAGTCAAAGGAGACCACAAGAGACACTGACAGTCACAGGGGACCACATGAGATACTGACAGTCAAAGAAGACCACAAGAGACACTGACAGTCAAAGGAGACCACAAGAGACACTGAGAGTCAAAGGAGACCACAAGAGATGCTGACAGTCAAAGGAGACCACAAGAGACACTGACAGTCACAGGGGACCACATGAGATACTGACAGTCAAAGAAGACCACAAGAGACACTGACAGTCAAAGGAGACCACAAGAGACACTGAGAGTCAAAGACCACAAGAGATGCTGACAGTCAAAGGAGACCACAAGAGACACTGACAGTCACAGGGGACCACATGAGATACTGACAGTCAAAGAAGACCACAAGAGACACTGACAGTCAAAGGAGACCACAAAGAGACACTGAGAGTCAAAGGAGACCACAAGAGATGCTGACAGTCAAAGGAGACCACAAGAGACACCGACAGTCACAGGGGACCACATGAGATACTGACAGTCAAAGAAGACCACAAGAGACACTGACAGTCAAAGGAGACCACAAGAGACACTGAGAGTCAAAGGAGACCACAAGAGATGCTGACAGTCAAAGGAGACCACAAGAGACACTGACAGTCACAGGGGACCACATGAGATACTGACAGTCAAAGAAGACCACAAGAGACACTGACAGTCAAAGAAGACCACAAGAGACACTGACAGTCAAAGGAGACCACAAGAGATGCTGACAGTCAAATGAGACCACAAGAGATGCTGACAGTCAAAGGAGACCACAAGAGACACTGACAGTCACAGGGGACCACATGAGATACTGACAGTCAAAGAAGACCACAAGAGACACTGACAGTCAAAGGAGACCACAAGAGACACTGAGAGTCAAAGGAGACCACAAGAGATGCTGACAGTCAAAGGAGACTACAAGTAGCAAAATGTGCCCCCAAAAATTTCAGTTATACTAATTATAAGTGTCATTTTTGTTCCCATTTCCCATAAAGCTTCTTTGTTGCTCACAATCTCTGTCAATGTATCCTTCTATATAACCATATATCTGTTGGGTAATTCTGCTTTTCATCTGTGAAGAAACTGTCTAAGATTCACCAGCATATAGGAGGGATGATATTACATAAAAATGCAGTACTCTTTACTTTGTTGCTTATGAAATTTTCCAGTTTCTTAATACTTTGTTTAGGTTTTTGAAGGCATCTTTTGCTATTCCAATACACACATTTGAATTTCAGTGCCTCATTTTCAATTATTTATTAAACCAAAATTTCAGCTCCAAATCTTTTTGATTCTATGTTTAATTGTTCTTTTGTTTCCATCTTTTTCTCCATTTACTGAAAACAGCTCTATTTTTTTTGGTTTGTTATCATTAATAATAATAATTTTATATTCTTTTAACACAAACATTTTTCTAATGAAATTCTTCCTCAATTCTCAAGTTTTGAATATCTTGGTGAGAGATCCATTCCTATACGGGTTACAATACACAGATGTTGATGGTCAGAAGAGACTTCAAGAAGAAAAAGACATATAGCAACCTAATAATTTATTGAGACCAAATGTCTTCCAGCAGCTGAAGCATAAACCACATGGGGCAATATCAAACATAACTGATATAGCAGAACATCAAACAGATAAAAATAAATAAAACGTTTTCTAAATATACGTCCCTAAAAGGACAATGTCCTACTCAGTTTGAGTTGAGTAGTAAACAAACGAAGCTACTGGGCTTTTATTCCCTATGAAAGAAATGTGTTTTTTTTTTAAATAAGGGATTCTTCTTGAACTAAATTGATGAATTTCTGGATGAGAAATTAACATTATTTACATGTGGGCAATTGTCCTCATCTTTGTTTTTATTATTACAATTTTTTGGCCATTGTGTCTTCCATACTTTATCAAGTTCTTATTAATCTGGGTAACCTTTAGGATAATATTGTTTTAAGAATTTTGTGACATAGTAATTTTGAGTTTAATCCCAAGGCCAAGAGTGTCCAGGGTAAGACTAAACTACATCCACATCCTGGGTAAGACATTAAACTACACCCATGTCCTGGGTTAGATGTTAAACTACGTCCAGCAGCAAGGCCTCTGATCAGGAGGTTTTGAGGAGCATGGAATCACCTCTTAATTGCTGGTGTTCCCAGGTCCACCCTGACCCGGGGTGGTAGCACCTGTTGGGGTCCCAGCTATGGGCAAATAGTTAACTATTACCAGCAATACTTTTTTGAAAAAAATTATTACCAGCAATACAATTTTGAAGGAAATATAATATCAGAAACAGATTTTTGACAAAACAAATTACCGACAATAAAAATTTTTGTCAGCATTAAATAACCCATTGAGGTTGATATGCCATAAAACAAAATAAACCAAACAAATCTAAACCAAAGAATACATATTCTATTCATACGAACCTATCCTAAAAATGTTGTCAGCATTAAATAACCCATTGAGGTTGATATGCCATAAAACAAAATAAACCAAACAAATCTAAACCAAAGAATACATATTCTATTCATACGAACCTATCCTAAAAATGTTGTCAGCATTAAATAACCCATTGAGGTTGATATGCCATAAAACAAAATAAACCAAACAAATCTAAACCAAAGAATACATATTCTATTCATATGAACATATCCTCAAAATGTTGTTGGCATTAAATAACCCATTGAGGTTGATATGCCATAAAACAAAATAGACCAAACCAAACCCAAGGCCAAGAATTTCTGACTTGGACTAGGTAGAAAGGGGGCGAGCTATAACTGATCATTACTAAATAAGAACAAGACAAAATACACTTGGAGAATGGAATCAGAACAATCTTCCCATGTAGATTAAATAAAGGGTTAAATTAAAAATTCCATAAAGGTTACCCAGATCAAGAGAAACCTGATGAATGACAGAGGACAAAATAGCTGAAACATTGTGATAATAACAAAGTTGAAAACAATAGTCTACATGTAAATTAGTCAATGAAGTTTTTTTTTTATGTGTTTGTTTGGTACAAATAAGACTATAGCCTGAATCCATCATAAAAATTCAGAATGTAGAATTAATAAGTTCTAAACATTGTAAACCTCTGTCTATATATCAGTTATAACTAATTTACTATAGAAAATACCACGATGCTTGGCTAGTTCAACACTGCAAGATGATGCAAAACCAAAATATTAACTTATATCTGGAATCCTCCGTCCATATTTCTGAAATGAGTTATTGTAATAATTTACACTATTTATATTATTCAGACTGTTGTTCTCACCTTTGTCATCATGATGTTTCAGATGTTATACGCTCCAGCCTTCTTCATGATCTGTCTATATTTCTGAGATGAGGTATTGTAACTATTTACACTATTTACATTGTTCGGTCTGTTAGCCTTATCTTTATTGTCATCTTCACAATGTTTTGGACAGTGTATGCTCCAGTCTTCATCAGGTCTCCAATCACCTGAAGAGGGCTGGAGCATACAGTGGCTGAAACATTGTGAATATGTCAGCAAAGATGTGGACAACTGTCTGAAAAATGTAAATAGTATAAATAGTTACGATAACTCATCTCAGAAATATAGACTGATACTGAATGATCGTTATGGACCTGATATACCAAAAATGGGGAGACAATTAGAAAAGCCAATTACATGAAGAAAGCTGGAGTGTACAATGGCCGAAATGTCGTGAATTTTAGTGAAGATGGGGTCAAAACACAATGAAAGTGTAAAAATAAGTGAAGAGTAAGCGTTCTCAAAGCAAATTTGTGGCTTTCACAACACAAAGAAAGAGAATCACTTGTAACACGTCAGGAAAATAACTCACGAACGCCGTAGCCAAAACTGCCCGAATTTTTCCTCTCGAGTCGACAACACCAACTGCTTTTATCGGCAGAACCTATTTTTCCATTCGTCGACAGCCGGGATAGGATGCTCCATAATTTGCATATTAATACACTCTTATAGCGACTCCTGCGATGAACTTGTTTTTTTTCGCTTGGGTTGACGAGGTAAGTCGCTATAAGAGTTTTGCTGACTACTTTTCTTTTGGCAATCCTCCCCGGCAGATCGCACACAAAACACGAACTTTTTCCGGGGTACTTGATTATCTCGTTCACTACAATAAGTTTTACTAGCAGCAATAGATTTTTGTAAAAAATTATTACTAGCAATGAATTTTTGAAGGAAAAAGTTATTACCAGCAAAACATTTTTGAAGGAAGAAAAAAATATTACCAGCAATACATTTTTGAACAAAAATATTACTAGCAATAAAAATCTTGTCAGCATTAAATAACTCATTGAGGTTGATATGCCATAAAACAAAACAAACCAAACCATTCCAAAAACTAAGTAGTGTATTAAGAGATAAAAAAATTCATTAGAAACAAAGAAAAGAGTACTGAACTGTTATGTGATCTGTCCTCCTGTACGGCAGTGAATACACAACAATTT